AATTCACACACAAATACTTAAAGTGCAAATTTTCACAGGCAGTACTTATGATACATCCTGGTGTTTTTGTAGGGCAAAATGAGAAGATGTTGACAGAAACTGTTAAAACAAGCACAATTTTGAACTACTGCTACAAAGAAAAAAAATTCATTCTTAACAGCATATATTTTATCTGGCATACTCAATAATGTATACAAAGAGTTTATTTTCGCCTATAACAAGAAGGCCTCACCACATAGAGATGCAGACTCTTGCTTGAGTGGCTTTTATGAGATACAGATGAATCATAACACTGGACAAAAATATACCAAATGGTATCAAATTAGTTGTGGCTCACTTGGAAGGTAGCACTAGTAGGCTCAAAATGGCACTTATAGTAGTGATACTAAGTCTACACAGACACTTTCTAAGTCTTCTTGGCCAACATCTTGCTTGGAGTGTAAAATACTAGGTGTTATATACAATATCCAAATAGGATATGCTCTGCTCTCTCAAACAAACTGAGTATTTAAGGGTGTGCGTGCTCAATAAACATGACTTATCATCGATTTCAGTAATGAGAATTGTTTTAAAAGCTGAATTAGAAATTAATGTTTTTGATTGTTTCTTAAACTATTTGCTTCTTTAAAATAAAACCCCTTAATTCCTATTGTCACCAACTAAGCACGCCATAACAGGTATTATACTAGGTGGAGATGAAAAATAACAAACCATGATCCCTGCTCTCAGGGAGCTGACAGTCAGGTGCTCCTTCTTAGTCAAGGAATGCCAATGAATTATAGAGCCAAGACCTCTGACTATGTCATAAGGTTCAGTGGTAACATAACTGTTTCAGGTCACTTTAATTTGGCATTAATACTTTCAAAGGTCAGCTTCTAAAGGGCAGGGAATATCCTAGATATGATCTGTGTTTATATTTCCCACACTAGAGTCAGTGTGTGAACCCCCAGGGAGGCGCAGCAGTTGAGGAGGGTTTGGGGGGGAAAACTGAGAAGACACGTGATGAACGTGGTGCTCCTTTCTGGCAGCACCAGTCCGTGAAGACTGAAGGACTCATTTTTATATTACAACAGTTTGATTATGGAGAACGCAAAATTCACTTACATTTTTAACACAGAACATGAAATTTCAGGATTGGGAGGCTGCTTCTGATTTTGCTCTCATGCCCCTTCCCCTACACATTCATGCTCCTCCGCCTTAGGGTTACGCTGGTGGAAAAATTTAAGAAGCAAACTTTGCCCTTATCTTGGCCACTTTACGCATTCTTATATGTTCTCTTTTTGAAGTACATAGTTTTGAATTAACAAAGAGAAAAGACGGGGTAATTAATGTAAGAGTATGGTAAATATTTAAAGCAACCAAGGTAAACACTAACTTTGTTTCCAACTGGAACTAAAGTCATGCTGTGTAAAGAGTCAGACAATGAGAGATTCTCTTCTTTCCACTTAGACTTCTTATGGCTTATGGTAGAATGCTTTGAGGGACAAATGTGAAAAAAGATTTCCTCAAATCTTGTGCTTTGGATGCTCAAAGTACAGGGAATCTGAAATAAAATACTAGATCAATTGGCCACCCATTTTGGTTAATATGACTCTTTCCTAGTCAGTTTCTAGAACAATCTCAGAAAACAAGTGAGTTGTAAAAGGCCATAATAAATTAACATATAGTAGCAACCAGACAGACCAAAAAAAGGTTATGAAGTAGATTTAACATTACTTCTTATAATGCCTAAATATTCTCACAATAATAACCAAAAGTCCATAAACAAACACAGTTCATGAATAAATTTAAAGCATTCTGAATGAATACAGTTAAGATTTCTTATCAGCGAGGTAACAGGACAATAGTTTTTCACAGTAATAGAATGTGGGAGAGCACCTAGGGAAGAGGGAAGTAGAGAGAAAAAGGCATAAAATAAAATTATCCAAGAGGAATTTGGATTTTTCAAGCATCGCAAACATCACTGGAAAACATCTGAAAAAAATACCAATAGCAGCAGTTCATAGAACAATGAAATTCTCCATTAAACTCCAGCTAACATCTTTGTTGCATCAACTCTAGAAGCAAACTTCTTAAGAAACAGGAGGTCTATTCTCCATGTAAAGATGTTCCAAAGTATCCAGTCTCTTAGAACCTCTCTGTCTGCTGAAGTTACTACATCCAAATAAGAATACTTTATATTTAAAACAAAACCCTCAAATATCCTATAATGCTATACATTCTTCAAGATGAACAAAATTATGTTCGTCTCACTTAATTTGCCAGGTTAAATCAAAAATAACATCCGAGCATGTCTTTATGCAGCAAATAAAGGCTGCACTCATGTATCTACTGCTCAACATATACAAAAACTATCTTGTGAGCTAAATTTTTCTAAGAAATGGAGTGAAACTCAAATGTTACTTTCAGTGCTGTTCTTGACATCATCTTTGTTCCAACTTGAGTTAAAAAAGTACTGGAAGGAACCTTAAAAAGCCATTTAGGGGGCCCGTCTGGTGGCGTAGTGGTTAAATGCATGTGCTAAGCTTCGGTGGCCCAGGGTTGGCAGGTTCAGATCCTGGGTGCAGACCTACGCACCGCTTGTGAAGCCATGCTGTGGTGGCATCCCATATAAAGTGGAGGAAGATGGGCACGGATGTTAGCCCAGGGCCAATCTTCCTCGGCAAAAAAAAAAGAGGAGGGTTGGCATCGGATGTTAGCTCAGGGCCGATCTTCTTCACAAAACAAAAACAAAAACAAAAAAAGCCATTTAGTATATCCCTTCATATTTAAAATTTTATTTTATTTTTTAAAAAAAGATCCTTATTCCCTCTTATTCTATCCTCACTGGAGATGAAGATACTACTTCTTACTTTGAGTCCTTCAATAAAAGACTCAAGTAATAACTTAAGACTTATTAAACTATCTCTACAGCTTTCCCCCTCCAGAGTTAAATGATCTTAACTCTTTGAATATCTTCTCAGAGGTCTTATTTTCCAAGCTGTATTTTATTTCTTTTTATTTCTGCTATATCCTCTTCTCCCCAGTTCCCATATGATCCTAAGACACAACATCCTAGCAGGAACTGAATCAGTAAGCGGGGTAATTTTTGTCACCTCCTAAACCTTGGCCTCTTTTTAGTGGTTGCTAATAAAGGAAAACAGAAGGGTCACTACCTGCACCTCATAATAACAAATAAACACAAGTAAACAACTTGCCCATAGCCAGTTCATTCCCTACTTTTAGGGTGATAAGCTTGTCCTTCAGAAGAAGCATTTCTTGTGCCACCTTACTGACCTTTCTATTGTTTATTTCTGTTTATTTCCAACTCATGCTTTGATCTTGCCCCACTATTCTTTCCTTTTCTCCAAAGCTCTAGAAAATCCCAGCTTTGATCCACACGCTCAATGAGAATGTATTCATTTCCATGAGATTGTTCATAAAGAAAAAAACAAATAATGTAGAGCCCATGACTGAGACTTACTGGCCAGCACTTCTGTCTCTCCCGGTTGGGCTACTGAATTTATCCTGTTAGGCAAGTGTATACCCACTATGTCAAGTTCATGTTAAATACCATGCTCAGACAGATTCGAGAGCTTGGCTAGAATCAAATAATTCCCTCCATCTATACACTTTAGGAACATTTGTAAAATGTTGTGAATTTTAACTGGAATTTTAAATTTTTGAGATAAGAATCCAAGCTTAAATCACTTTTCACCTTGATTAAGATGACTTAAATGTTGCATTATATTAACACACTCAAAACTGTTCTCTTTATAATAGAACAATAATCATGACATGGCTTTAGTGATTATGAATGGGCTATCAAATCATTTTGCTCCACTTTGTTCTTCAGTCACTGAAACACAGATACTAAAACCAAATATACATATTTTTTATATATACAGCATTGTTCATACCACTTTGTAGAATATAGGCCACTTATTAAATTACAATCTACATTCCTAAAAGCAAATAAAGCAAAAAATTCTACACACTTTTTCTTCAGTGCAAAGCCTCTGAAAACAAACTTATTCAGAAATACGGTGCTCTACATTTAGCTAGCTGTCTATTATCTACAGCCATACAGGATCCAGCTATAAGAAAGTAAGGAAGGAACAAATTAACAATAGTGGCAATACAATAATTTGAAAATTATATTTGGATTATATGAGTTCAACCAAATGTTAGCTGATAGTTGCAACAAACCAAACCATGATTTAATAAATATTCTAATCAGTTCAAATTGTATATTATTATTTTTTAGGAAATAGATTCTCTAGTATGAGTTATCTCCCATAGGCAATTTGTTTAGAATAATTACACCCAAGGCCTTGTTACTGCTCTCTCTTAACTATACCACGTGTTAAGTTTTCTGTGAGCGACATAGGACAGGATACACTTTAAGAGATTCAACAGCACTTCTCTATTAAGTCTTTTTGGAAGACTGCAAATCAACCAAAAGTGACCTTCCACATTTTTTTTTCCATATTAAAAAAGATAAATAGTACTCTTGTGATCAGAAATTCTATAGAAGCCAGCAAGGTGTTAGGATAAACTGGACTTCAGTTTTAAAACATGTAGTTTTAGTGTTTCATAACCTAAAATCTGGATGTTTTATTTCTTAGTAAAATTAGCATTACTTCATCTGATAAAGGAATAAATCTACTTATAAAAATGTAGTTCAAAAGTTAGACTTTTAAATAAATTCAGAGCTCCTTTCTCAGTTCAGATTTTTTTCTTTACTCAAAGGCTGTGATAACTGACAATTCTAACATGAAGATCCTTAACTACAGTTACATTGAGCCTGCTTTTAGTAAGATTTTTGTTTACATTCATAAGATTTTAAAATCAGCAAATCTATTTGATACAGACGGGAAGCACCTATATAGTTTGGAAGATTTTCCTTACTGTCTTAAAATTAACTTATTAAATTATATTCAATGCAGGAACACTGTTTCAATTCACCCCATACCTTAAGAAGGCATTAAGAAATCTGACAAGAACAAAGCCATTAGGAGTGTTGCCACTATTGTTTTATGTTCAGTAAACGTCGGAATTTTAAATACATACAATAAATTTACACTGCACCAAGAAAGAGCACCTGAAACAGGTGCTGAAACCACATATTGAAACATCCATTTTAAGCTACAAACGTTAAATACCCTATTTCAAATACTCTAATTTGTAAGTTAATACCTGTGATGTAACAATGACACTTTTCCACAGTATTCTGGGAGCAGTGCCATTTTCTTGCCAATTTTATGGATTAATTTCCTTAACTAATCTACAATTATATAACATTTATCTGCCTTCTTTTAAAACCATGCTATACACAATTACAAGAATACGGAACTAAGCTTAATCACACTTTAATAAGAACACTCACTTTTGTAATGTTTTGTTTCTGTTAAAGGAAGAATGACGTGTTACTATAATACTTTTAATGTAATGACTTTTGTTCAAGATTATGAAAACATTTGAATCATTTCTCTCTAGACCACTTCATTTCAAATTTAGTGGAATTTCAAACAGTTTGTTTAGTCAGCCAACCAAAAAGAAAGAATATAAAAGAAAAAAGATACTTGGCCAGATAAAATAGAGAGAGAAAACTAACACGAGTTCAACGCATGGAGTTCTTGGTTGTTCTGTTCCATATGCCAGTGCGAAGTAATGATGTACTGGTGGAAACTAAACAGAACGCCAGATCAGTCCATTTTTACTGGGCTCAAGAAAATTCTCAATCAAAGCCTCAATGAGTTTCTCCAATTCCTCTTCTAGTAAGGCACTGTCACTGAGGAAAAAGATTAATAACAGTTTAGAAATTCTTTATTTTCACAGCCTTAAAATTTGTTAAAATCATTATAACTTTTTAAGAGGGCATATACCTGATGAGATGACTAAACAATTGGTAAACAAAAGAGAAATTCATTCAGTTAAAGCCAAACAAAACAAAACAAGACCAAAGGGGAAAAAATCACACACAAAAAACACCATTATCACAAACTGAAGTTGAACTGCATTAAAAGGAGTTCCTTGGTACCTAATACATGGATGAGTTACAGTATATCTAAAGATTTCTCCTGGGTCAGGCACTTTAATGGCTTAGAACATCAATACCAGGTATTAAGGTAAAATGGCTTGCTGAAATACTTTGAAGAATACCCAGTATAGATATTATGGGGTGATACAGCATATCTTTCAAGTAGCAGAGGGAGGCACGGCTAAAAGAAAGAGATGTTCAGGGCTGGCCCCATGGCATAATGGTTAAGTTCTGCACGTTTTGCTTTGGCGGCCCAGGTTCGTGGGTTCGGATCCCAGGCACAGACCTACACTCATCAGCCACGCTGTGGTGGTGACTCACATATAAAGTAGAGGAAGACTGGCACAGATGTTAGCTCAGGGACAATCTTCCTCAGCAAAGAGAAAAAAGGGGGAGGGGAGGAGAGAAAGAAAATATATATAAAAAAGAAAGAGATGTTTAAAAAATAAATATACACTTACAAATACGCCCTTCAAAGTCATCACCTGATGAGCTGCTGTTGCCCAAAACATTTCTGGGAAAGTCTCTTTTAAACTGCTTTCACAATCATTTTACAAGCTACACAACAAATCAGTTTTTATTACTTTAATAATCATCCTTCATTTTTAACCAAATATAGCATTACCCAATTTGGTTTAAACTTTGTTCTGAATGACTGCAGGAGGTCTTTTTACCCCCCAAAGGAAATAAAATCTACTTTTAAACTCAAAGATTTAGGGAAATACAAAATAATGTACTTTGGGCTCTGAAGGCAATTTCAAAAAATCGTCTTCACAAAAATATATTGATCAATGACAACATGATAGGAGGTATTACTTTTAATAAGTTTAAACAGCCTTTGAATATGTTTATTCAAGTCAAGTTAATTTAGTCATGATTCATAATCTTAAAAGGAAATAAATTGGGCAGATCAAGTCAAATCATATTAGATGTAGAAAATGAATATTTGGCAATAAACAAATTATTTGTTGATCATTTCCTTATGTTCATCATATAATAGTTAAAGCTCAGAGAGCCTTCCCAGGAATATAAATTCACTAAAATTTAAAAATTCAATTCCCAAATGATGTAGCTGCTTTGAAAAACAGTCTGGCAGTTCCTCAAAAGGTTAAATATAGAACCACCATACAACCTAGCAATTTCACTCCTAGATATATACCCAAGTGAAATGAAAACATACGTCCACACAAAACTTGTACACAAACGTTTGTAGCACCATTATTCATAACAGCCAAAATGTGGAAATGACCCAAATGTCCATCACCTGATAAATGGTTTAAAAAATGTGGTATACTCACATACAATGGAATATTATTGGGCCATGAAAATAACTTTTTTTAAAAAAAGAATAAAGTACTGATTCATGCTACAACATGGATAAACCCTGAAAACATTATCCTAAGTAAAAGATGCAAGTCACAAAGAACCACTTATTGTGTGATTCCATTTACATGAAATGTCCAGAATAAGCAAATCTATAATGACAGATAGTAGATGGGTGGTTGCCTAGCACTAAAAGGGAGGGAAGGAAATGGGAAGTGACTGCTAATGGGGTTTCTTTTTTTTTAAAGATTTTATTTATTTATTTATTTTCCCCCCAAAGCCCCAGTAGATAGTTGTATGTCATAGCTGCACATCCCTCTAGTTGTTGTATGTGGGACGCGGCCTCAGCATGGCCGGAAAAGCGGTGTGCCGGTGTGTGCCCGGGATCCGAACCCAGGCTGCCAGCAGCGGAGCACATGCACTTAACCGCTAAGCCACGGGGCCGGCCCCTGGGGTTTCTTTTTGAGGTGATGAAAATGTTCTAAAATTGATTGTAGTGATGTCTGCACAACTCTGAATATAGTAAAAACCACCGAATTGTATACTTTAAATGGGTGAACTCTATGGTATGTGAATTGTATCTCAATAAAGCTTTTATGTATATATAAATATATATCTTAAAAGTCAATTCTCACCTCTGGTCAGGGGATGCACACATCTCTGCATAATACTTTATCTTTGGTTCTGTCCCACTTGTCCGAAGAGTAGCAACACAGCCATTTTGGAAAGTAAATGTAATCATTTGGCTGCTTTTACTCACAGGCAGCACCTATGCACAATTGTAACAACAGCTTAATTACACCTGGTACCTTTTTCATTTTCAAGAGTTGTAAAATACACTCCACTTAAATGAGGTATCTAAAGTCAAATTCATAGAAACAGAAAGTAGAACAGTGGTCGCCCAGGGCTGGGGGAAGGGGGAAATGGAGAATTGTTTAAAGGGTACAGAGTTTCATTGTAGCAAGATGAAAAAGTTCTGGAGACCTGCACAACAATGTGAATATAGTTAACACTACTGAACTACACACTTAAAAATGGTTAAGATGGTAAATTTTATGTGTTTTTTACCACAAAAATAAAAATATTTAAAATGGAATTATAAAATACAAAAGATTACATACAAAATAATTCATAAATATACCATTTACTGAACAGTTATAGTAGTACGGGCATTTATATACCGTACATACTTGATCTCTGGGCCTCAACAATAATCCTGCAAAGTAAATATTACTGCCAATTTATGGACAAGGCTCAAAGAGAGTAAACGACCTGTGCAAGGTAATCAGCTAAGTGGCAGAGCAAGAAGCTGAAGCCATGTCTGTTTGTATCCAAGTCCAAACTGCCTCTACATGTGCAAAGTGCTTTACAATTTCAAAGCACTTTCACAGATAGTTTTTCAATAGTCTCCAAAGCAGGGTGCATCCTAGAGGATACACAAAATAATCCACTGTGGCGCAAAAAAAGCTTTTATATTTCTTACCTAAAAATTAACAAAAGAAAGGAAGTTTTACTGACATTGAATATGGATGAACACTGGTACTCTTCCTAGACCACAGATAAGTCTGTGAAGGTATCTTGAGGGAACTGTGGGGGTTGTACTAGGACAGAGGGGTTGACAGTGGTACCTTCCCTCAGGTATCCTGAGCCTGGTCCTCTCCTTCAGATTCTCTCTCCATCAATGGTACTGCCATACACTAACTGCTTAAGACAGAGACCTTCCTCTTCTCTTTTTCACTCACAGACCATGAACTAGCAAGTTCTGTCTATTCTATCCTTTATTTAACTCAACTTTGTCCAATTCTCTCCATCACTACTGCTACTATATTAAATTCAGGCTCCCATCATCTCTCATCTCGATTACTGAAATAGTGTACTAACTGATCTTCCTGCCTGGAAGTCTGCTCCTCTCTAAACCACCCCCCGTACATGCCGTTCTTCCTCACCCTCCATACTACAGTTGTAGGGAACCGCTTGTGGTTCTTTGAAGGAGAACATGGCTTCTCACCTCCAGACCTAGCACTTGCTGCTCCCTTTGTTCCTGAAACACCCTCTGTTCCTCCTGCATCTGGATAACTCCTACTCATACTCCAGAACTCACAAAAGTCCTCTAGAAAGTCTTCCACAGCCCCCCAAATCTGAGTAAGGGTCCTTCCTATCCTCTTTCATGGCACCCTATGCACCCCATGGTAGCACTTAGCATTTTGTAAAGTAATCACTGTTTACTTGCCCATTTCCCCACTAGGCTCCTGAGTGCAGAAACAGTGCCTTTGTCATTGCTGCATCCCCAGTGTGCTTGTGTCTGTAGCACAGAAGGGTTTTGATAAATGCCTGTTGAACACACAGATGTATGGCAATCTGAAGAACAGAGAAGAATGAACTCAGGAAGTCTCTGACACTTACTATGTGACCTTAGGGGATTAATAATATCTATACTACCTGCCTTACAAAATAGTTGTAAGCATTAGTGAAGAACAGATAGAAAAGCACTTTGAATAAGGAATATCATAAACTTTAAAGAGAGTTAACAGGAAAAAGGCATCACACCAAGAACTACTCTAAGCACAGCAATATTAGAGAAATAAAAAGAAGTAAAAAAATTTAGTTCTTCTCTTCAAGTAGTTTACAAAGATAGAAAAATACACACATACATACACATACACAGAATATCAACAAGTGGGAACCAATATTTATTGACTGGATGAATATACACAAAAGGAATACGGGTAGTATTCTACACAAGAGGCTGCAGATTTCCCAAAATATATTACGCCCCTAGAATCCAGAGATAATAGCATATTTGTAAATGGAAGTTTAGGCTAATAATAATCATAACAATAACAAAATAAATATGATCAGCAATCTACAGCATTTAAATATTTGTTGAGCAACTACCACGTAGGCAGGAGCTTTGAGACACGTAAACACATATCAGAAATGGATGTGCCAGATACAACATAATGATAACACAGATAGAAAGTGATAAATGATGAGAGGAAGGCACAATATATCATGAAACCTCAGGAGGAAGATATCTGATTATGGGGCCTGGAGGGTATGTGGAGGAGGTGACATTTACCTCAAGTCTTAAATAATCGCTAAAGTGTAGACCTGCAGTAGTAGGAAGAAAAGGTAGACTGAGGAAATAGCTTGAGCAAAAATAGAGAAACTAAAAAAAAATGTACGTATGTAAGAAACTATAAGTTGTTCTGTCTGGCTGGAGGTATAGGGAATAAGGTTGAAAAGGGAAGTTACAAATAGAAATTGGTATAGCTGTGAAATTATAGGGTTTTAGACTTAATTTTCAACATTATTTAGCATCATTACACATTCTCCTTCCCTCCTCCACTTTCTCTTTCTGTCTCTCTGTCTCTCTCATGCTCTTCCCCACTTCTACATCCCTAGGGGGAAGCATACACTTGGCGAGTGACAAGGACAGGCTCCGAGTCAGAGAGCCAGTTAGTGGACTTACAACTGCCCTGGAGAAAAACAATGGATCTCAGTTTCAAGAAACTCTCAGGCTGGAACTTCTACTACTTTCCCATAATATGAATTATTATAAATTGTTAAAAACTTAAAAAAAAAAAACAGGTACTTACTGATTTCTTATTAGGCTGGCTGCTGTCATATCCAGTGGTAATGTCCCGTATATGCAATATAGCAAACGTCCCACAAAATTTTGGATATTCTTTTGGAGAATCAAAATTGCGAAGCCTTTCAAATATACTTTTGATGGTAGGTGGATCATAACACAAGAAATATGAGGTTTTTGAAATATGATAACCATATCTGCACAAAGATTTAAAGTGTTAAAATCAGATTTCAGGTAACTCTTTAGAAAAGTATATATTAAAGTTAAGCCTCTTACGGTATTGTGTAGAAAGTGGGAGTCCTTAATTCCTTAAGTACCAGACAATTTTGGTACTTTTTCAAAAGGACTGACTGTTTCTCAAAAACAAATTTAGAAAGCTAAAAGTAGGACAAAAAAATAAAAAATTTAGCATGTGAAATTCATAGCAATAAAGCTTACTTTTCATAAATCTTAATCAGTTGCTGTTTCAATGTTATATTCATGGTTTCCAGGTAAGAGGCCATCTCAGCAACAACAACGGCTGCACTCACTCCATCTTTATCCAAAACCGAAGTTCCACACAGAAAACCTGAGAATTAAAAAATGTCTTTAAAAAAGAGGAAAATTTAAGCCTATAATAATTTCAATAGTTGGACATATCTTGAGAAGGACCAATGAATTTAAAAGCCTAGTAATAAATGAAACCCATTGATATTGAAGGTATTTAGGGGACGTTTAAGGGTCTTTTTTTTTTCCTGATAAGAAATGCGTCTACACATTTCTGAGTTCTCTGTGGTTTTTACAACTCAAAATGCAGAAGATAAAAATTCCTCTTTATAAAATCACTACATTTAAAAAAATGCTCTCATTCAAACTTCAAATATTTTAATATTTACTACATACCAATAGACTCTTCAAATGCAAAAAGGACTTCTTTCCCATTTTCCAGGAGGTCTTTTATCCTACTTCCAATCCATTTAAAACCTGGTAATGTTTCCTGAAACGCAGAGCAGACCACTCTAGTTAAGTGACTCTCTCACAAATACATATTAGAGAAAAGCTTGTCTCTAAATGCACACAACACTCTCATAGAAATCTTCTGTGATGGTCTTCAGTCCACAAGATTTACATAGTGGTAAACATATAGCCATAAAGTACATGGATACACACACCACCACGACTGATGACCTACTATGTATTGAGCACCGTAATGGGTGATTTACACCAAATATAATCCAATATTTATAAGTGGTGATGCATACAGCCACAAAGTAACATAAATACACACAGTATTATGATCGCCTCCCATTTATCAAGCTCTGTAACAAGTTCTTTACATCACTATCTTTTTTTAATGCTCACAACAACTGCTGCTGAAACAAGAGGTTCAGTAATTTGCCCAAAATTATGCTGCATATAAGAGATGGAGCCAGGATTCAATTACACTGCTTCTCAGAAACTGTCCTTTAAGCTGTGTTATAAGCACTAACATAAGAGTACCTATGAAGGTTGTGATTTAGTCCCCCTGAATAATCAAAGGCCATAAAGCTTTTTAATGACGCACTTTCAACATTATCACAACATATGCTTGAACCAAGTGTACCTTACCATGACACTATGGCCTAAATAAAACCATCGAGAATGTTACTAAGTCCTTCTTTGGTAATTAGATTTGAGGACTTTCCATCTGATGAGCTACTGTTCACTTTAAAGACACGAACTGTTTTAGAGCCCACAGAAAGCATGTGATACACACTGACTCTAGAGCTCACTGTTACTAATTTAAGATTCCTAATTCACCACTCAACCTCCTCACTAGGAAAAAATAGATAAATAAAAGCCAAAAACCTCTGCTGCCCCCCAACCCCCAACAACAAAAACAAGGAAACAAATTTATAACATTGGTCTTTAGAATCATGTTCTTTTTTCTCTTTTGTGCTCATTATACATTTTCCTTGCCATAGATATAAAAGAAGAAAATGTTAACATTACCGTAATTCAGAATCTTAGGCTTAATAAATTTCAATTTCTTCTGTTTTGCTACTCGTATTTTAGAAAACCTGAGACTGAAAGTTCTACTTCATTAAGACAGGCACCATTTTTCTTTCATTCAGCAAATTAGTGTTAAGACCTGTAGCTTGACTGTGGCTCAAGAACAATGCCCAGAGGTGACATTTTCACCGATATTTGGCAAAGACGGCAGAGGAAAAGCACCTTAGTTGACATTAGACCCAGTAGCTGTAAGAATGGTCAAGTTAACTGCCTGAGGCTCACAAAGGTTAATGATCTGTGCTAAGAGACAGTCATTACTTGTTTTTTGGATGTAGAATCATTTGGTCTTAATTTTCAATTTAGAAGACTACTTAAAGTTTCTTAAGACTGAACTTGAAGAGCCTAAACAAGTGGTCGATGACACCATACAATTTTTTGGAGTGGAGTGTATGTTACTGATGAGGTCATTAGGAGTCAGATTTCTCAGTATGAAAACCAGATATTGTTGTATGGAATAATAAGCATTAATGCAATTTTTAAAGAACACCTTATCTTAGTTTCAGAAATTCACATACTGGATGAATTTGTCTCAAGGTGTCTAAACTATAAGCAAGTGTTAACAGAATCAGAAAAAAAGGGGAAATTATAAATGAAATCAATAAAAGTCAGTTTCGGTGAGGAGATGGCTTTAATTTATAGAAACAGGTTTAGAAAAGTAGCACACAGATATTAACTATTCTTACTTCAAAATGAAATCCTTCTTTAAGTGCAATTGCCTTCAAAATTTTGGAAGAGACTGTGGTGGCTAACATATAAATGTTCTTCACATCAGCATTTCTTGATTTATTTTTCTTCCAGCAATCAAACATCCACCACCCAAACAAAGCCGCCAACTCATTCCCTGTGAAAACTTTCCAATGACCACTGTAGAGAGAATGAAAATTCAAGTCAAGACCTTCTAACTTCCCATGAAAACTTCTTGACCCTAAGACCTAAAAATTACCATCCCGCACATAGGAAACCCCAGAAACTACTGAATGAGATTTCTGAGAAAGTATTTACTGGGGCCGGCCCCGTGGCTTAGCGGTTAAGTGCGTGCTCTGCTACTGGCGGCCCAGGTTCAGAATCCGGGTGCGCACCAACGCACCGCTTGCCCAGCCATGCTGAGGCAGCGTCCCACACACACCAACTAGAGGGATGTGCAACTATGACATACAACTATCTACTGGGGCTTTGGGGACAAAAGGGGGAAGAAAAAGGAGGAAGATTGGCAATAGATGTTAGCTCAGGGCCGGTCTTCCTCACAAAAAGAGGAGGATTGGCATGGATGTTAGCTCAGGGCTGATCTTCCTCACAAAAAAAAAAAAAAAAAAAAAAAAAACATTTACTACTGCTTTTCTTACCCACCAGGGGTGAGGTTAGGGTAGGAATGGTAACAACGTCTTTTGAAAAATTATTACATTACTTTTATTCTCCTAATGAGAAAAAAGTTATAGTATGATGTCCTTTCTATGTAAGGACATTTGTCACAACATTATAATGCCAAAAATACATAGCAACCCAAAGGACCAAGATTAGGAAATGACTACATTGATAAAGCAATCTGTTGGGATATTATGCCATTTCAAAAATTAATATTTAAAACAATATTTATGGATAGGGAAAAATGCTCACAGTACAACATTAAGTGGAAAATAATCAAGATATAAAATCAGGGCCAGCCCCAGTGGCCTAGTGGTTAAGTTCGGCATGCTCCACTTCAGCAGCCTGGGGTTCAGTTCCCGGGCACGGACCTAAACCACTTGTCAGTGGCCAAGCTGTGGAAGCAGCCCACATACAAAATACAGGAAGGTTGCCAACAGATGTCAGCTCAGGGCAAATCTTCCTCAGCAAAAAAAAAAAAAAAAAAAAAGATATAAAACCATATCTAGTATTATCACAATTTTATAAAAACAAATATATCTTAAATATTTGAGCAGAAAAAACACAGAAAGGAAATGTCAAAATATCAACCTACGTGGTTATCTCTGGATAGCGGGGCTTACAGGAGATTTATTTTTTTATTTTTTTAATATTTCCAACAAGCCTGTTAAGACTTAAACCAAAACTGCTTTTCAAAGTTTAAGCTTTTAATCAAATAGCAGGTTCTACTTACTTCTCCTGAAGTTCTGCCACTGCCAGTCGGTCTGCATCAGGATCTGTGGCTAGCACTATCCGAGCATTTTCTTTCTCTGCCAGTCTCAAAGAAAGTTCCTGAAACAGTGACCCAAAAAACTGGATTGTATTGGAAATGTTAAATTCAATGTTAATACTCCTAAATGTAGGCACTACGTTAGTGATACGAATTTTAGAAGGAATATAGTTTAGCTAAGTTTAAAATAAGCCTAGAAGTAGGGATACCCACCATAGAGATTTCAAACAAAACAGAATATATGGCTCCAATATAATTTAAAAGATGTAAACGAAAGTGGTTTCTGCTTCTATAAGTAATCTCGGAATTGTCAATCAGTTCGATCTAGTCAATGAAGTTTAAAATACTACTAATAATTTAAATATAGAAAAAAAAATACCAGCACAGATTCTCCTTCTTCAGGATTTGGGCATTTAACGGTTGAAAAGTCTGGATCAGGATCTTTTTGTTCTGGTACTGGAATTGGAGGCTTAAAACCAAACACTTGAAAAGCCAACTGCACATAGTCATGTCCAACCCCATGAAAAGATGTATGTACAAATTTCAAGGTGGTCTTTGAGTTTAATTCCCTGTAAAGGAAATAGTCATTCAATCAATATCATAACACTCATCACTTATGATATAGTTAAAATAAGCTAGAGAAAAAGCTATAATAAATTTTGTAGGATAGGGAAAATATATTCAGCAAGCCAGGATGCTCTCTAGCAATAGTGTTAGCTATTTATGGAATAGTTATGGAAATACGTAAGAAAACATCAAATTTTAGAGGAAATTTCCTGATCTTATATAGAGGGAATGCATATATTTATAATTTTTAATAGCTTTATTGAGAGGTAATTAATATACTATACAATTCATCCATTTAAAGTGTACAATTCAATGGCTTTCACGATATTCACAGAGTTATTCAATCATAACCATAGTTAATTTTAGAACATTCTCATTACCCCAAAAAGAAACTCCGTACCCAATAGCCACCCGCTGCCTAACCCTCCCATTCCTCCTAGCCACAGGCAACCACTAACATACTTTCTGTCTCTACAGATTCGCCTGCTCTGGACATTTCATATAAACGGAGTCATACACTACGTGGTCCTTTGTGACTGGCTTCTTTCACTTAACATACATAATGTTTTCAAGGCTCATCCATGGTGTACTATCTATCAGTATTTCATTTCTTTTTACTGCTGAACAATATTTCATTGTATGGATATACCACATTTTATTTATCCATTCATCAATTGATGGATAGTTGGGTTATTTCCACTTTTTGACTATTATGAATAGTATTATGTAGCTATAATTTTAATATAATGAATAGTCAACACATTTTTATTCCTATTCCTTTCCTTTATTTGTTAATCTTATTCTAAGGTAATACTATCCTATATTCCTACTTGGATACCTGTGAAAACAGATCTTTTTCAGATCTTCCATGTATCTCCTGCAAATGTCCTGCAGAGGATCTCTCTTCAGTGGGCTAGTATTCACTAAATTTTCATTCCAGGAACCAGTCCAGGGTTCCACACATTCTTCTATACACTTCAGAATCTCTTTATCATGAGGAGATATGATCTGAGCACCATTTTCCCAATAAACCTAGATGATAGGTAAATACAGCTATAAATACTTGAAATGTTGGCCAGATATTTTCTTAGTTACAGTAGAGATATTTGACTTTATAAAGAAAGCATATCAAGCAGAAAATGTCAACATGAGACTAACTTAATAAATACCAAAGGATATTGATGGTAATGATTCCACAGAGACTCCAATAAAATGATCACGTATTATTTTCTCTTTTAGAAGTATACTTGAATAACAATACAAGTAAAATATATCAGGGCATCGTTATGACAGCATTATAATACAAATATACCTTAGATATACATACTCTTAGATCTATAACTATATACTAAAGATAATCTAAGAAACCATGGAATATCCATAAAACTTGGTACTATAAAATTTAAGCATTATAAAGTGGTTCTGTTATATGATAAAGAAGCAAATCATTTTTCAGTTCTAAATTAAAGTAGAATTTATGTCACACCAACTAAAGTCTATATCAGGAAAGACAATTAACATGTTAATTATTCCATCTACATTTCAGTATATGTATTTTCAGTATTTAATTAAAATACATTTCATTAAGTTGTCAGTTTGTCAAGCAGCTCGATCAACAAGACATTAGGAAGAGCTAACAAAAAAATCAAGAAAACGTATTTCTATAATTCACAGGATCTCAAACAAAGTTAAAAGGGACTCTGCTTAGAGAATATCTACACAGGCATACCTTGTTTTAGTGCGCTTTGCTTTATTGCACTCCACAGATATTGCACTTTTTACAAATTGAAGGTTTGTGGTTAACCCTGTGTATAAGCAAGTCTACCAGGGCCATTTTTGTAACAGCATTTGCTCACTTCATCTCTCCATGTCACATTTCGGTAATTCTCGCAATCTTTCAAATTTTTTCATTATTATTATATTATTATGGTGATCTGCGATCAGTGATCTTTGATGTTACTATTGTAATTGTTTTGGGATGTCACAAATCATGCCCACATAAGATGGTGACCTTAATCGATAAATGTTTTGGGTGTTCTGACTGCTCCATCGACTGGCCCTTCTCCCATCTCTTTTCCTCTCCTTGGGCCTCCCTATACCCTGAGACACAACATTATTGAAATTAGGCCAATTAATGACCCTACAGTGGTCTTTAAGTTTTCAAGTGAAAGGAAGAGTTGCACGTCTCTCACTTTAAACCAAAAGCTAGAAATGATTAAGCTTAGTGAAGAAGGCACGTCAAAAGCCAGGATAGGCCAAAAGCTAGGCCTCTTGCGCCAAATAGTCAGTCAAGTTGTGGCAAAGGAAAAGTTATTGAAAGAAATTAAAAGTGCTGCTCCAGTGAACACACAATTGATAAGAAAGTGAAACAGTCTTATTGCTGATATGGAGAAAGTTTTAGTGGTCTAGATAGAAGATCAAACCAGCCACAACATTCCCTTAAGGCAAAGCCTAATCCAGAGAAAGACCCTAACTCTCGTCAATTCTGTGAAGGCTGAGAGAGGTGAGGAAGCTGCAGAAGAAAAGTTTGAAGCTAGCAGAGGTTGATTCATGAGGTTTAAGGAAAGAAGCCATCTCCATAAGATAAAAGTGCAAGGTGAAGCATTAAGTGCTAATGTAGAAGCTGCAACAAGTTCTCCAGAAGATCTAGCTAAGATAATTAATGAAGGTGGCTACACTAAACAACAGATTTTCAATGTAGGTGAAACAGCCTTCTATTGGAAGAAGATGCCATCTAGGACTTTCATAGCTAGAGAGGAGAAGTCAATGCCTGGCCTCAAAGCTTCAAACAACAGGTTGACTCTTTGGTTAGGGGCTAATGCAGCTGGTGACTTTAAGTTGAAGCCAACGCTCATTTACCATTCCAAAAATCCTAGGGCCCTTAAGTATGATGCTCTGACTACTCTGCCTGTGCTCTATAAATGCAACAACAAAGCCTGGATGATAGCACATCTGTTTATAACATGATTTACTGAATATTTTAAGCCCACTATTGAGACCTACTGCTCAGAAAAAAAGATCCCTTTCAAAATATTACTGCTATGGGGCTGGCCCGGTGGCACAAGCAGTTAGGTGCATGTGCTCTGCTTCGGCTGCCCAGGGTTTGCGGGTTTGGATTCCAGGCGTGCACTGACGCACTGCTTGTCAAGCCATGCTGTGGCAGCGTCCCATATGAAGTAGAGGAAGATGGGCATGGATGTTAGCTCAGGGCCAATCTTCCTCAGCGAAAAAAAAAAAAAGAGAATTGGCATTGGAGTTAGCTCAGGGCTGATCTTCCTCACACAAAAAAAGAGGAGGATTGGCACCGGATGTTAGCTCAGGGCTGATCTTCCTCACACACACACACACAAAAAATATATATATATAACTGCTGATTGACAATGACCTGGTCACCCAAGAGCTCTGATGGAGATGTACAATGAAATGAATGTTGTTCATGCCTGCTAACAGAACATCCATTCAGCAGCCCATGGATCAAGAAGTAATTTCAACTTTCAAGTCTTATTATTTTTAAGAAATACATTTCGTAAGGCTATAGCTGCCATAGACAGTGATTCCTCTGATGGATCTGGGCAAAGTAAATTGAAAATCTGGAAAGGAGTCACCATTCTAGATGCCATTAAGAACATTCATGATTCATGTGAAGAGGATGAAATATCAACATTAACAGAAGTCTGGAAGAAGTGGATTCCAACCCTGATGGATGACTTTGAGGGGTTCAAGACTTCAGTGGAGGAAGTAACTGCAGATGTGGTGGAAACAGCAAGAGAACTAGACTTACGAGTAGAGCCTAAAGATGTGACTGAATTGCTTCAATCTCATCATAAGACTTATGAGGAGTTGCTTCTTATGGATGAGCAAAAAAAGTGGTTTTTGAGATAGAATCTGCTCCTGGTGAAGATGCTGTGAAGACTGTTGAAATGATAACAAAGGATTCAGGATACTACATAAACTTAGTTGAGAAAGCAGTGGCAGGGTTTGAGACGACTGACGCCAATTTTGAAAGAAGTCCTACTGTGGGTAAAATGCTATCAAACAGCATCGCATGCTACAGAGAAATCATTTGCAAAAGGAAGAGTCAACCAATGCAGCAAACTTCATGATTATCTTAAGAAACTGCCACAGCCACCCCAACCTTCAGCAACTACCACCCGGATCACTCAGCAGCCATCAACATCAAGGCAAGACCCTCCACCAGCAAAAAGATTACAACTTGTTGAAGGTTCAGATGATGGTTAGCATTTTTTAGCAATACAGGATTTTTTAAATTAAGGTATGTACTTTTTTTTAGACATAATGTCATTGCACATTTAACAGACTACACTATAGTGTAAACATAACTTTTACATGCACTGGGAAACCAAAAAATTCATGTGACCTGCTTTATTGCAATATTTGCTTTATTGTGGTGGTCTAGAACTGAACCTGCAATGTCTCTGAGGTATGCCTGGACTGACTGCTACCACGTATATGACATGAATCCCTTCTATTGCATCCTGAGTGAAAGAATACATTTGAATATGTACTAAGCTCTGTTGCCAAGCAATATGGTAGACCAGATGACCTCAAAATTCTCACTCTATAAACAACTCAAAATACTAGATAAAGGAGAAAAGGTATTATCTAAAATGCATAGCTTAGTTCACAAGAAGGAAAGGGAAAACTCCAGGCAGTGGAAAAAAAGAAAAGAATTGAAAACCAGAGTGATAAGGCTGATGCTGTGGCTGTCTGGGATTTGGGCAGCCGTTTTTCTGGTTCTTGAGTTGTTATGCCCACGTGGAAAGCAGGAAATTGGAAATGAGACTCCACCCCCCCCAAGTGGGAATACAGACTAGAGAAAGTTCTGCCCACTATTATAGAAGGATGATGTGGAAGGATGTCTGTTTCTTCTTGCGTTCTGGGTTACTAAAAAAAAAATTCAATTCTAAATTAACACAGAAATTGCTCCCAGTTAATGAAACTCCTGAGGTTACCACAGAGATTAAAAAAGCAACAACTGCTCTGAAGTGATGCTCCCACATTCCAAGTCACAGAAAAGATTCTATCCGTAGGCCCTGAAAGCTTACCGTGAAAATTTATAAAACATGAGGAAAATGTCCTGGCCTTGCTTTCTGCCCACTTCTTCTTGCCTTGTATGCAGACGTGATGCCTAGAGGTACAGCAACCATTACATGATGGCCATGCTCAAAGGAAAGGCCAAAAAAAACTGGAGAGATGCCAGGCCCAACAACACTGAGCTACAGAACCATGCTAGCTGCCACCTATCTCTGGACTTTTTGTTATGTGAGAAAAATAAACTCCTATCAGCTTAAGGCATTTTAGTGGGTTTTCTAAACCTGCAGCAGAAAGTATCCCTACCTGATACAGTAGCAGAAAAATCCATGCAAGAAAATATACCCAGGAATAAACTTTAAAAGAAAAGCCCAAGATCTATTAAAAAAAATCTTTGAAATGTTTCTAAAGGATCTAAAAGAAGTCTTGAAAGAATAGAAAGCTACATCTTGTCCATGAATAAGGAGAGTCAATAATATAATAAAAATATTTAAGCTTCCTAATCTATAAATGAAATATGATACCAATAAAAATGCCAAAATAACTTTTTTCCAAATGGAAAAAATACCATAATACCACACACAGAAAAATATCATAAATAAAGTGAAAATGTAAATGATAATATGGGGGAAGATATCTGCAAAACAGATGACCAAGAACTACTTTTTACATATAAAGAGTTCCCATAAATCAATAAGAAATAGAGCAACAACCCAAAAGAAAAATGAGCAACACCTTTAACAGACTTCTCAGGAAAGGAAACACAAATATCTTGGAGGTTCATGAAAAGATGCTCAACCTCACTCATAAGACAGGTGCAGATTAAACATAATAATATTCCACCTATCTGATTGGCAAAGATCAAAAAGTCTGATAATACAATAATGGAAGGTGTGGGATAAAGACCTTCATATACTGTTGGTGAGAGTATCAATTGGTACAACCAACTTGAATAGAGAATGACAAATTTTCTTTCATATTCCCTTTGACTCAGAAGTTTCACCTCACAGAAATTTATCCTATAGCTCAGCAGTGCATAGAAATATAATGTGAACCACAAATGCAAGCCACTTAACGTAATTTAAAATTTTCTAGTAGGCACATTAAAAAAGATAAAAATAAACAGGTGAAATTAATTATAATATACTTTATTTATATAATCCAACATATCCAAAATATTATCATTTCAACATAAAACAAATACAAAATTATTGAAACATTTTACTCTTTTTTTGTACTAAGTCTTCTAAATCTGGTATGTATTTTATACTTATAGCACATCTCAATTCAGATTAGTTATATTTTAAGTATTCAACAGCCATAAGTGGCTATTTCCATAGTGGCTACCATCCTGGACAGTTCAGCTATAGATGATATGAAGAAAAACAACAGCTAACATTTATTGAGCACTTATTGGAGCCAGACACTATACCAGGCATTTTACAAGCATTATCTCCCTTAGTTGTCACTCTCACCCTATGATGTTAGTTCTATTATCCCCAGTTTGCAGATGGGGAACTAAAGCACACAGAAATTAAGTAACTTGTCTGACATCACAAACCTTCTGAGTGGCAGAGGTAGTTTTCAAACCCAGCTCATAGTCTTAACCCCTATTCTATACTGACTCTATAAACCTACTTGCACATATGAACAAAGATATATGTAGAAGAACATTCATTGTAGCACTGTTTATAAGTAGCAGATCAGAAAGAAATGTAATGTTCATCAACAGAGGATAGGTTAAATAAATTAGGATTTATCTATATAGGTTTTTAAAGATGAATGAGGGAAACCTATCTATCCACCTATCGATCAGTCGAGAGAATGATCTCTAAGACTGTTTCATGCTGTTATGTGAAAAAAGCAAGGTGCAGAACACTGTACACGGTGTCCTACCATTTTGGTAAAAAAAATGAGGGAGTGACAAATACATATACGGTTCCACATCCATAGACTATCTCTGGAAGGAAACTAAAACCGGAAATAATATATGCTTCTGAAAAAGGGTACTGGGTGAAAGGGATGGGACAGATACTCTTTATTGTTTAACTTTTTACGCTGTTTAACTTTTTTACCTTTTACTTTGTGCTTATATTTTAAGGAAAAAAAATCTTTGAGGGTCTACTATGTGACAAATATGTTCAACAGCAATGATATCAAAACAGACTAAGTCCCTCCACCCACAAGCTTATATTAGGAACAGGGGCATGGAGGGTCAAACAAACAAGTCAATAAACAAGCAAGGTAATTCATCATACAGAAAGCAGACAGAGTGATAAGTTCTGTGAAGGAAATAAACAAGATGATGAGAAAGTCACTGAGGGAAGCCACTTCAGATAAGGTGGTCAGGGAAGGTCTCTTCAAGGAAGCAACATCTGGGCAGGAACATGAAGGATGAAAATAAGCAAGTCTGCAAGATTTGGGGAAGAGCAATCCAAGCAGAAGAAAAAGCAATTACAAAGGCTCAGAGGTGGGAAAGGGCTTGGTATACTGAGAACTGGAAGAACAGAGGGGAGTGGGAATGTGACCGGAATGTAGCGAGCACAGGAGAGGAATGAATGCAACAAGGTTGAAGAGGTAGGCAGGAGACAGAGTCCTGTAAGCCCCAAGGTAAGGAGTTTGGATTTTATTCAAAGAATGAGAAGGCATTGAAGAATTTTAAGCAGAAAAGGAACATGACCTGTTTATATTTAAAAGTTCATTTGGCCATGTGGTGGAGAATGGACTGCAAGATAGAACAATGGACACAGGGAAGAGACCAGCTAGGATGCTGTAGTTCAGACCAAAGACAGCAATGCTTTATGGTGGAGGTAGAAGATATGGGCAGAAGTAAACATATTCAACATATATTTTAGATGCAGAATTTGTAGAACCTGTTAGTGGATTAAATGTTAGGAGTGAAGGAAAAGGAGTAATCAAGAATGATTTTTGGTTTTTGTTTGGGTGGGTGGTAGTGTCAATTTACAGAGGGGGAAGACTGGGGAAGGAACGTATTTGGGGGTGTATGTGGCAGGTTGTGGGGGGAATCAAGACCTCTGTTCTAGGGGCAGGGCCAGTGGCGTAGTGGTTAAGTTCACGCGTTCCACTCTGGAGGCCTGGGGTTTGCCAGTTCGGATCCTGGGCACAGACCTACTCACTGCTCATCAAGCCATGCTGAGGCAGCATCCCATATAGAAGAGCTACAACTCTACAGCTATGATACACAACTATGCACTGGGGCTTTGGGGAGAAAAGGGAAAAAAGAGGAAGATTGGCAACAGATATTAGCAATCTTCCTCCAAAAAAAAAAATTGCTTTCCTCCTAAAAAGGAGAATAAAGTAACTTTAAAAAAAAAAAGAGGACCTCTGTTCTAGAGATGCTGATTTTGAAATGTCTGTTAGACATCTCAGTGGATATCAGGTAGGCAGCTGGATATAGGATTGTGCTGCTCAGAGGAGAGATTTGGGTTCTTAGCTCTCTCTGACAGTTGACCTCTTCCTCCTTGCAACTCTCTTGTCCCTCTGGTTTTTATGACACCAATCTCTTCTGGTCTTTCTCCTAACTAGAGTTAGGAGAGTTAGCACTTCTTTCTCCCTTCCCTTAAAGTTAATCCCCTTTGGACCTTGTTTTCTACTATACACTGTCTCTGGGCTGCTCATCCAAATAAAGGACTTTCAAATACTCTTATATGCTTTAATATGTATGGTGACCCCAAAATCTATAACTTCAGCCCAGATTTCTCCCCTGAGCAATAGATCTATATATCCAACTGCCTACAGGACATTGCTACCTGGTTGACTCACAAACCTCTCTAACTTAAAATGTCCCAGATCGAACTAATCATGCTTCTTCCCTGCCTCTGTGAATGGTAACACTATCCACTTAGCTGGCCAGGGCCAAAATCTTAGATTAGTATTAAATCTTCTTTTTCCTGGTAAAACAGAGCTCAGTGTACCTGGAGACCTCCCGCACAAGACAAAAAACAAAATATAAGATCATGGACTCGGGCTGGCCCCGTGGCTTAGCGGTTAAGTGCGTGCGCTCCACTGCTGGCGGCCCGGGTTCGGATCCCGGGCGCGCACCGACACACCGCTTCTCCGGCCATGCTGAGGCCGCGTCCCCACGTACAGCAACTAAAAGGATGTGCATCTATGACATACAACTATCTACTGGGGCTTTGGGGGAAAAAAATAAATAAATAAAATTAAAAAAAAAAAAAGATCATGGACTCATCACCCAGGAGCCCGAAACATTGGCTCAATACTGTGCTATGTAGCTTCTGTTTGCCCCTCCAGAGCCATTCTTCACTCTTTTCCACCCTGCTTTCTGCCACACAGGCTGACACATCAAATGGATCCTGTGGCCAGTGGCGAGCCCCCGTAGAAGGTTGGAGGGAGAGGAGAGTGAGGTCAAGGTAGTATTCCTCTGGCTCTCTTCCTGCAAACCCCTACTCATTCTTCAAGTTCTTGGTACAATACGACTCTATTTCTGAAATGGTAGAGAGGATGGATTTGGGATAGGATGGGAAAATCAAGGGCAGTAAGATATCATAAGTAAAAAGACCAGTGCAGAGACTTCTGTGATAGTACATGTTGAGAAGTAATAAGGCCATTAGGGATACACATTCTTTGAGGGCTGGTCTCAGTGTTTTTACCTTCCTGTCCCCAGTGTCTAGCCCTGCTCCCCGGTGTAGAAAATTATACTCAGCACATATTATTTAAATAAAGTAAGAACTATGAAATACGCAAAGATCAGGAGTCCAAGTTACCTTGTATCCATTGTCTTCTTTGCGGTTGTGAGATGCAGTAATCATCACACCTGCAACTGCTTTGAGCTCCTGGACTGCATATGGCTGAAAAAACATTAACACCATAACTCCATTTTGCTTCCTAGCTACCCATACTTTTGACATGAGAAAATTTTTGATTAAACACAAGAAAAGACATTAAGATATAAATAGCCTAAAACCTCAACTATCAACTCCAGATTCACTGGCTGGGGGCCATTTCTAAAAGGTCACCAAGAACCACCTAACTGTTAGACTGAATGGCTCCCTGCCCCCCATTCTCATATAACTTAGTCCTATAAACATTTCTGATTATTTTGTTCATTTAACAAATATTTAATGAACACCTACTATATGCTAGACACTCCACCAGACTGGAGATATGAGTGGTGAATATAATTATAAAATGTTAGAGCTGGAAGTAAATTTAGAAATTATCTAATCCATCACATTTTACACCGAGGTTTATGCAACGTTATACAATCATAAAGGAGAAAATTCAAGGGTAGAACATCGGTCTCTTGCTTTCCATTTGAAGATCTCTATATATACTCTGTGGCCTCTATTATCATATAAAGGTCAATTCACCACCTTCTCTCCCAAAGTTAATCCCCAGGTTGGATTTCCCTTTTTCTCTGTAGTAATTATTTGTCTGCCTAGGATGTTCCTCCTACTCCTTCTACCATCACATCCAATTCCTCTCCTCCTGGCCATTGAGGGGGTAGACGCATGACCCAGGTCTGACCAGAGTAACCTCTTCCCTTGATGATTTAATTCAGAGACAGGCTCATAATCCAAGCCTGGTCAGAGTCCTTCTCCAAGATGTTTCTGCTGCAGGTAGTCAAAGAAGATTGCTTTTTTGACTCGAAATTATGGTGATAAAGAGTGTGAATCTGGGACTTCCCTACCAGCTAGAGCAAACCTACCTGTAATAAGAGAGGAAGGTCAACACACAGGGATTGATGGTAGTTGGAACTGGCAACCTAGTGGCAAAATTCCACAGAAATGTCCTAAATTTCTGAACCCTCTCTGGTTTCTGTCATTCATTAGAGCTAATTGTCTAGCAATTCCTTCAATTCTTTGCACCACTCAGTATATTTTCAATAAATCACTAGTAATAGTTTATAGACATTATCTATTTTTCAAACATTTGGTAAAATTTACCTATAAACTCATCTGGATCTGGCATTTTAATTTGAGAAGATTGTTTAAAAAATATCAGTTCAATTTCTTCAGTGGTTATAGGTTTATTCAGGTTTTCCATTTTTTATCAATTTTGATGTATTAATTATTCTAGGAAACTGACCAATTCATCTAAGCTTTCACATTTATTTGTATTATGTTGTTCAGAATATTGTGGTTTTCTTAATCCCTACTGTATTTATTATGCACACTTCTAATTTCTTTGTCTTCTCTTTTATTCTTGAGCACGCTTTCCAAAGGTTTGCCTATTTTATTAGTCTCTTCAGAGAGCCAACTTTTGCTTTTGTTGATACTCTCTTTTCTTTTCTATTTAATTAATTTTTCCTCATATTTTTATTATTTCATTCCTTTTACTTTTTTTGGATTTAGTCTGTTTTAGTTCTAACATACTAAGTTAAAGGCTTAGGTCATTATTTTTTAATCTTTTTTTCCTAATATATTCATTAAGACTATAAATTTCCCTTTAAGTAAGGCTCTAAGTTATATCCCATAATTTTTGCTATTTATTGTTTTAATTGTTGTTCAGTTTTAAATACAGGCAGTCCTTGCTTTGCTCAGTTCCAATATACACGAATTTCCGATACCATATTTAGTTAAATAATACCAGTTTCCTAACATGTTCAAATTTCAGTTACCATGCTGTATTAACTATGATTAACTGCGTCAAGTACAAACTTGGCTGCTAGCTCTTTAGTCCAAAATAACTATGTACATAAGAGACCCATCATGATCAGTGACCAATCATGTCACTCTGTTAAAGTCTGTCAGTGACTGGTCTCTGTGCATCCGTCATTCAGCTCTCAAACGGACAGCAAAGCAGCAAGTTGTCTTGCCTCCTTCTCTCCCAGTGATAAACCCACATGGCAGTTTGCAAAAATGGATAATTGAAAGAAAGAACTGGCCAACAAAGATGAAAGTGCAGCAAAGAAACAAAAAGTGATAATGGTGAAGTGAAATTTGAATCGAACATAAATGGAGTTATAGAAAAAATAGCTGAGAATGTTGACATTGCTGTCCTTCAAGAGACTCTAGATATGCAATCTGGTGAGCTTAGTGAGGGCAAATGCACGGATATAAATGAGGGATGTGGTTGTGATGAAAAGGATGAAGATGTCCCAGAGGAAGTGATACTGGCAAAAGAAGGAATTCTCAGAGATATTTCACAACATTGAAAGCACAAAGGATAAAATGTGAGAAGCTGATCCAAACTTAGAATGAAGTGTGACAATTCACCAAGGCATAGAAAAGATGCTCACTCATATTGCTAAGTTATATGACAAGAAAAAAGCACTGATCATACTCTAGATAAATTTTTTTACAAAGAAATAAACATGTTAGTTCTCAACGTTTCTAATGTATTTTTTTTTGGGGGGGGGGGCGGAGATCAGCCCTGAGCTAACAGCTGCCAATCCTCCTCTCTCTCTCTCTCTCTTTTTTTTTTTTTTTTTGCTGAGGAAGACTGGCCCTGGTCTAACATCTGTGCTCATCTTCCTCCACTTTATATGGGACACCGCCACAGCATGGCTTGCCAAGCAGTGGGTTGGTGCGTGCCTGGGACAAAACCCGTGACCCCCGGGCTGCCGCGGCAGAGTGTGCACACTTACCCGCTTGCATCACCTGGTCAGCCCCTCTAATGTTTTAAATTACAGTGTACTAACTAAATATTAGTTTTACTATTTTTTTCTTTTCCCTATACATTTTTAACCAAGAGTAAGGGTATTTTGACTGTTCTGAGAAAAAATTTTAAAGGTCCCAGACAATCATAATTTTTCCCACTGATTATTAAGATCAGTTTGCATGGTTTTAGCTTACACAGTTACCTTCACAGTCCTGCACTACCATGCAAAGCAAGGACTGCCTGTAGTTTCTAATCTTCATTATGGTATCTTCCTTAATCCACAAATTATTTTATAAGTGTGTTTTTAAAATGCCAAACATATGGGGTTTCGTGGGTTTCTTTATTTCAAATCTTACTGCGCTGGAGTCCAGGGCTACGGTTTGATAAGCAATTCTCCGGTTTTTGTTGAGATTTCCTTTGTGACCCTGTTTGCTAAGAACGAATAGCCTACCATCACTGAGTACAGGGCTTTTACACACACACACACACACACACCAGATCAAGCATGCTAATAGCATGTTCAAATCCATCCTTAATCATTTTTGCCTGCCTGATAAATCAGTTTCTGAAAGAAGAGGGTCAAAATATCCCACCATGACTGTGGACTTGCCAACTTGGTCAAACTCTCAGTGGTTCAACACATGCTTGTTGAATGAAAATAAACTCAGAGCAAAATTTGTTTTCCTTTGGTCCTTCATATCACTTAATAGAGAACTACTGCATGACAAAGATTTGAACCCTGGTCGATTTAAGAAATCTTTTCAAGAGCAGTAAACTGTATGATTAATAACACAACACACTTACTACAAAAGGTGTAGGAACATATCTTGAAAAAAGGTACACAGGAACATCTTTGGCCAGTAAGACTGCAGCAGTGAGTTTAGCAAGCCTAAAAAAAAGACAGATTTGGCTTAATCCTTAGCTTACCATACTTTTTAAAAACCAACCTTCCACAAAATAAATATTTCATATTACAATTATTCTGTAGATATAGTAGCCTAATACAACTCATTCCTATAATCATTGGTTATTTAAGCTTCATTCTCCAACTTAAAAATGTTAAATAAATAAAATTTTTTGAAAAAGAGCTTAACAATAAACACAATTGACATTTTAATTTCTTCTTTTTTCTCCTTTCATCTTTTGATGGCTCTTTTACTATGAAATAAAACCTGCAAAAGGGAAAAAGAATGCAGGAAAGTGAAACAGGAGACTCTGATAAAAACAATATGCATAATTACTCCCTGCAAAAAAGAGTCACTATATCATGACTATCTATGTGTGAAAATAAGCTAAAATGAGTCAAATCAGACTATAATGAGAGAATACAAGCTACAAAATTTCTCCTACCCAGTGCCTTTGAGAAAATATTAAAATCATAACATAAGCTATGATGTCATTCTAAATACTAACTAAATATTTTAAAATTTTCTTCTTTTCTGTACAAGCTCAAGCTTATCTTTGAAATGCTTCTATTTCAGCTCTAAAATAAACTTCGGCATGCAATCACATTTCTATTTGACAGTTTCCTGTTTCAGAAATCCTACTACAGGGCCAAAAAAAAAATTGTAAGATTTTATTCCAACCCAACTTAATCTCTGAAACAATGAACACTGTACCTCTGGCTGGTGCAGCTGCTAGTTACTTGACCCCGGGTGTCATACCCAACGACAAAGCCTCTCTGCTTGAAGTCTGAGAAACATCTCTCCAGGTATTTATACATCCCCTGAAGCAGATAAACACAAATGATTAGTTCCGGACTAACACCTGCATTTTCCATGACTAAAAATCTATTACTTTTACGTGTAGTGTGCAGCTTATCGGCTCCTAGGGAACTGGCTTCTGCCTTTATGCCCATGTTTACCAATGTGGAGACAATAATGTTCAAATCTCTAGTGTGAGATGACATTTATTTCCTGGCATTTCAGACACATTTAATACCAAAGATGTACCAATTAAGTAACTATTAAATCTAATATGATACATAAAACATTAGGGGAAAAAACATGAGACATGAGAGTCAGTATGCTAAAAAAATTGTTAGAAGAGTCAAAAGAAATTATCTCTTGCCTTAAGGCTCTAGATAACAGAAAATTGACCATTTTAGACCTTGCTAAATCATAAGATTGAAGCTAACCAAAAGATTTGACCTATTTATGATACAAACATTTTTAATCAGCAACATAAACCCTCATTAGAAGATTTCTTAAGATGGTTGATCCCATTTGTAATTCCTTGGTTTTAAAATCCCACAGAAAGAGAATCTCATAAACTAGGAAAACTTGAGTCAAGGGTGACAAAAAAAATTAAAAGAAGTATTTAATATTGAAAACATCACAACGATAAGCTAAAACCATTTAAATATCTTACGAGTGATTTGCTAACTTTAATAAACACTTTCATCTTTAAAAATAACACTTTATATTGTTATAATCCTTTAAAACTACTTTCACAAATGTTGCCACATTTAATCCTTATAACAACCCTGAAAAGAAAGAAATATAGATACCATTTCTATTTTTGTCTCTTTCAACATCTCTTCAAAAAAAAAGGGAGACAGAAGAAGATTGAAGCTCCATTTAATGACTTGCCCAAGGCCATTCATTCAACTAAAACTAAGTTATACTGATTACTGAAGACCTACTATATGGCAGGCACACTAAGTAACCATGTGGCAGCACCAAATGAGGCCTCAGTGACTTCTGGACTCTTCTTCCATGGCTCTTTCTAGTATAATTATTCTTCCCAACCTACTCCTTATGATTGGGTGTGTGTGTGCACGCTTGTGTGTGCAAACACACAACACTTAATATAGCCCAAATTGGCTAGTTTCACCAACTTATTTATTTCAATGATGATACTATCCTAAAACCTCACAAAACCTCAGAGTATTCTCTGGTATGCAAATCCATCTTATCCCCTAATATCTAGATTCTGAAAAGGGCTAGGGCTTAAGAATCAGATTCTATCTGGCTTTTCCACTTCACACAATGAAATCTCAATCCTGTAAAAATTTGCACTTCTATAGAAATTGATTTTCAAACACCTCCTCCACCCCTTTTTGTAAAGCCAAGGAGTCTTCATTTAAAATGAGAGCTTATGAGGAAACCTGATATATAAAAGACTGAACTGAAGCATCTCTGGATGAGGAACAGAAAGGGGACGGGGGACAGGGGAGGTGGCACATATCCTACTCATTCAGACATCTTGTCATCCCTTCTCCCCCACCCCCTGCATTTAGTCCTTTGCTTTAGAGAATTCCCTCAGAACAAGGCTAAAGATGATTTACTGTTTGGCAGTATCAGTTAGAATTAAGTCTACTGAACATTTCTCTAGTCCAGAACTATTTTTAGTATAGGCTAAATGCATTTTGGCCTTCAAGGAAAGTGCAGTTCCTTGAAGCAGTGAGGATGCTTCGCTGGAAAGAGAAGTAATTTGTTTCTAGAGTAAGTTGTATAAAAATGAGGAGAAATAAAACAAATTGTATCATATCATACATGGTCTTAAAGAACTCTCAAATGGATACGGAAAATCATGTTAAAGGGAAATATTTTCACCTAAATTTTTTCGAAATACCGTGGTTAACCTTTACCAATGGCCATATGCCAAAATGGGTAATCATCTTCTTTCTATCTAAATTTGTTTCTTTGTATTAACTGGAAATGTCAACATCCATTTCCTGGTTTCAAATGCAAAGTAACATTGTTAAAAAGTTGATAATGGCAACCGAAATAACTCTTAATCAGAAAGTCTGTGACCTTGAAGATACATAAATGACTTCTAACATAAATCTGGGGCAAGACCAAAGGTCAGAATTTATTCTACATTTTTTACTTACAAGAGAGCACCTTCCTGGATATTAAGGTTTTTTGTTTTTTAAGAAAGGCACTACCTAATTTATAAAGCAAAAAATAGAGTGATAAAAAGTGCACACACAATATTTTTATCATAATACTTACCTGTGTTGACTGTATTATTGTAAGATCATTAATATAGCAAAATCCTGCCCCCATTGCAGAACGAAGACCCGCAGTCCCAAAAGTCATTCGGCAACAAAGACGATCTCGCAGTTCCTTGTTCATCCCATTCCGTAACAGATTTTCAATCTGCTCTTTTGTCTTGGGATTCTATAAGAAAGAAGCATTAAAACTTAATCAGGATCATAAGCAAAGTCCTCATAGGAAGCCCTTCTGAGGAGCCAATAAGTACTATGCATATATCATAGGTTCTACATTCACTATAAATTCCACAGTGCTACTTACCAATATTAGTATGTATAATAAAACAATACCTGCCATTTACTGAGTCCCCAAAGGAGCCAGGCCCTATTGAGGATGATTTACATTATCTCTAATTGTCATAGTATTTTTTTATAACACATTCAAGAAGTTTTTTTTTTAACAAATTGATAAGTTACGGACCCAAAATAAACCTCTTAGTCAAAAATGACGTCAATTAATTTAGAGTCTATATTGTTTTAAAAAGAAATATAGAAGTTACTGGATAAATGCCTTCAAAACATGTCTACCAACTACCTACCTAAACCTCTGAAATTCAAAATGACCAGATAAGCCTTACTGCTCTTTAAAGTCACAGAACACCATTCAATTTATCTATAGTAAAAGTTGACCCTAAAAAGGTCTAAGGTGTTAAATGTGGACTTAGTTAAGAATGAGAAGGAAAATTCAGTCCAAACATGGCTTGTGAGGCAAGACATGCCAACATCTATATTTTAGGATTCTGGATTTCATTAGCACATACTTTATTTTCATAAATTTCAAGAATGTCTATGACTGAAAATAGTGTTTCACAATAAAGTAGCAAGTTTCAAATAGAAATGAAATTATAATAAGAATAAAACTTAAATGTAATTTCCCATTACTTCTTCTTAGGAGATAGAGTCAAATATTAAGAAAATAAGGTGAACCATACTTCTTTAAGGTTAGTATGGATTTAGTCCATAATATCTGCTTAGATCTTCTACATCTATAGCCTATACGTACAATGATAATGAATATTCAAAATGATAAACTAAGGCAGCTGAAAGGTGCTGAATATTAGAGCATATTTATACTTGTATAGAAATAAAAACATACTAATATATAATTTAAACAAAAAGGTTTTCTGGTTATAATAGAAATTACAGTAACCAGAATGCATGTTACAAACTAAGAAGCAGCCAGGGAAATTCTGGTTAACTGAAATTGCAATCTGCTTATAATGTATGGATGTTATAACCCAGACTCAATGAGTCTCCACTTTATAGATGGCACAGACTAACAAATACACAGTCTACATAAAAATATGAATAGCTATTGAGAAAAATCTAAGCAATAAGATTATCTAGGCTACTATCATATTATTCCAATGTCTAAGATACCACTAGATTTGACACAGAGGGCAAAGAGACTTGGAGAGGGTTAACATTTACAAATGGGCATAAGAACAGCAAAAACTGAAAAGACTGAGAAACTTCAGTACTTAGAGGATACATGGCACTGTCATACACTGTTAGTGGCACTGAAGTTGGGATAGTCTTTTTAGAATGATTTCGTAGCAGCTATCAAAATTTAAACTGCACAAGCCTTTCGGCCCATAGATTCCTCTGTCCACAATACCTTCACATGAACAAAAAGATTTATTCATACAAGAACAGTCATTGTAGCACCTTACTGGTAGTATTATTACTACCATTGTATCAATGAAGAAATTAAGATTTAGAGAAGGAGTCTAGTAACACTGAGCTAATACTGGAGTCTATACAGGATTTGAATCCAAGTTGGTCTGGCTCTAAAGTCTATACCATCTCATTACACACAAAATCATTATGTAAGGGGTTAATAATGTTTCTAATAAAAATTAATTTCAGCTACAAAGCAAAAAAAATATTCCTTTTGTATATAAATATAAATATGATTCACCAGACAAGAATGCTATTAGGCTTCTGAGTAATCTTCCTAATGCACAGCTACTAGAGTAGGGCCTAAAAATTCCATTCCCTGTTATAAACATTACAACAACTACTAACCTAATTTCTGGTTCTGAAAGAGCCTGTATATTAAAGAAAAATAAAAATGGATAAAGAATCATGATGCATCAGACGTAAGTAAATTGCTAAGGTAAAAAGACCTAAGCAATTACGGTGACAGACATTTGAAATCTACTTTAAACTCATATTTCTCCATTATTTCATAGCTAGACATTAAATTAGATATCAATGTTACAAACATTTAAAAATATAACCAAAAGGCTATCTATGTAGCTATGATTATCATATATTTTCAATTCAGATGACGAAATTACATTTGCATTATATTGTTAAAATCTTCAAATAACTGATTTTTATAAACTATAATACACAAAGGTTCTAAAGAGCTACCAATTATTTTTTAAATACTATTTCCACATATAACTCAGATGTTAAATGAAAATGAAAGTAGAAGAGTAAATAAAGTGTTTTAATTTGTATAAAAAGAGGTATGTGTACTTACCATTCCAGAAATACTCCATGTAAATATAAGAGACAAAAAATAGTGATTACCTCTGATTGGCAATCAGGGGCGAGGTCTGAGATAGAAAATTGACTTATTTTTATTGCACAGCCTTGGTACTTTTTGGATATTTTATATATGTATTACTTATTTTATGGTAAAAACTAGGTAGATATCCAAGATGGCTGAGAAAAACCACTACTTGTGTGTCTACACGAATACTTTTTACCTCACAAAGTGCTCTCTTTTTCCCACCCACAGAAAGCTATTAATAAGATCTGAATCTATAAAATATATATTGGAGCTTTCTCAAATACAAAGTATTGTTTGCTTTCTAAATGTGCTCTCTCATTTACAACTCATTCATAACTTGAGGGTAGGAAAAGCCTAATTAGCAAAAAAAGAAGAAAATTGTTCAACTGATGCCAACTGTAAAAAAAGCACCTCTAAAATCATAATGTAAGTCAGTAGGAAAGTTACCTGATTTACATTTTGGAAATATTTGATCTACTATATAAAATGAAAATTAAGTATTGAGAAAGTAAATGCATTCAATATGGAACCAAATTTGCTCTTGACTAGCATATTTTAGAATCCTAATAATTTTAGTACCCCAAAAAAGTAATCCTGCAGAAAATCCAAAGAGATTTTAGTGACTACTAGCATTTTCTATACTTCATCAGGAATAAAGCTGATTGTTTAGTATGAAATCAGTAAGCTAAAGAATACAGAATTAAAGCCATGCATTATTTCCAAATTTTACCTGTATACTAAAAATTTTCCTTTAGATTTTAATCCTATGGATTGCTGCAACTTTATATGGCTAAAATGAAGAAAAGAAAGTGTCTTCTTACATATTACTCTGTGGAGTTTTATTTTTTCCATACTGTAGGTCCATAAGGCCCAAATTCAAAGAAAACATGAAAGAATTGATTTACCAAAAAAAAAAAAAAAAAAACCCCCAAAACAACCCACTTTAAATACATAGAAGAGCCTCTTCTAATAAACTTAACTTCTTACAAACTTTCATAGGTGTGAAGAAAGCTATACACCAGACCAAAGTCAACCAAATGGAAGTATTAGCATTCACTTATGAAGGATCATTTTGGACTCATCAAGCTTTTCTAAACCTATTCTGTTGATAATTAGGGGGTTTCTGTATTATTTATGTATAATAAATATAAATGTGTATAAAAGTACACAAAAAAGTAATTAATCATCATTATATAAAACAAATCAAGTTTGTCAAAGAGGAATTCCTTGAAAATCTTCTTTCCTACTTCTTTCATAAACCTAATATTCTTATAATTCTTACACAACTTGAATCTACTCTATTAATATTCTAGTACTAAACCTAACAGCTTACAAACAATCTAAACTATGAATTGCATTGTTTAAAAGATTAGAACAGATCTAAAAGAACATGATATATATTAACAATCCCAAATCCCAATATTGTTATACATCTAAAGAGGAGCCAATATACAAAATTGACTTTTTAGTAACTCAAATATATCTAAAATTGCAAAACTATAAATGACATTTTAAACTGTTACTGACAGAGACTGGTATCTAAATAATAAATTCCAGTTTTATATAATTACAGAGAAAAAAAAATTTAAGTTTATTTCTAAACAGAAGTTAAAATAGGAAACCGCAATCTGAAAGTCTGAAGGGTGAATGCAACTGACATTTACTTCTGAGGGTCAGCCAGCTTGAAGATCCAAGTCTAGAGTCCTGAAGCAGAACATGTTTTCCAAACCAGATGCTTCCTTAAGTCCAAAATATACTCTTGCTAAACCAATAATTTTTTCCCATTTAAAGGACCTTTGTGTAATTCTAAATTTAATTTCTACTTCTTTAAAAATTAGCATAAATAACAGAATAGTAGAAATTAGCATAAATTAAATTGGCTTAGATAAAAAACTTGAATGACTATACTTGTCACATAAAATGAGATTTGCTTAATAAAATTTGAAGAAAAATCACTTAATGAATATGAAAATCATATCTAGCAGAGTAGAAAATAAGCTTTCAAATATAATATATTGTTGTCATTTAAGTGTAATACTGAATATGCCAAGATTAGTGTGAAAGCTAAAAATGTTAATTATTTTATTTTAAACTTTAGGATTATGTAGACATAGTCTTTTAACTTATGGATTTTTTTCTAACAGCACTTATATTGAGCTGAATTTTACTGTTCAATGACACAGTCATGCCTGACTCAATATTAAGTTTTAAATAAAAAATATTTCTCATATAAGGTAGTCCAAACGTTTGCTGTTTTTCTCTAGATATTCTGACACATCATACTTTTCTCAACTAATGAAGGACCCAACTGTTGGTCAACTAGCTGAGCAGCTCACTGCAGGGTAATGGAAAGACCACTGACCTATGATTTTAGAAGGCTTGGCCCTGATCTTGAGCCTGCAATGGGTTAGCCAGATAATCTCAAAGAAGTTACTTGACCTCCTCCTAGACTTTAGATAGAGTGTGATGACTTTTGAGATTATCTTTTCAAGCTCTACAGGTTTTATCAGTAAGAGATCATGTGAGGGACTAAATATACTAAATTAAAGGACTCCAGTTAGTAGCATGTATCACTACCTTTATGACTTTGAACAGGTAATTCC